AAGATCACCGGAGAATCCCAACGGAACTCATGATCGTTGCAAGTCCGATGCAAACTAACGACTGAATGCAATGTAGTATCTTTTTTTATATTATTTCTATATTCTTTGATGCGCGTTTCTAAACGATCTATATATATATATATAGGCCCCATAAACGTAAAGAAGGAGCGATGATTTAGTTAGCTCTGGGGTGCCTCCAATATCGCGTCCCAATAAAAAACGGCCAGAATAACGGAGCAACTCGGGAGAAACAGAAACAATGGCGGATTCTTCAACTCGGATCGAGTCTCAGCCCCCGTAATTCGTAAGGGATGAAATCGAGCGAGCGAAGAAAACGACGAGGAAGAGGAGGGTTAGTAGAGGACACGAAATGAGGGGCAAAATGATGGATCGTTCGAGGAAGCAGGAGAGGTGATCGAGCAATCGAGCACTCGATGGCGATGGAGGAACAGGGATATACAAGGGACGGCCTGGTAATATCGTATGGCAGTAACGAGAGGCGCTTTTCCGAGCGTTGACCTCTTCGCTCTTCCAATACTAACCTCGCCCAAGAGCGCCTGTATCCGCCTTCTCCCGGGAATACGAAATAATAGAAACTTCGCAGCGCGCTGGGAGAGAAAGAGAGAGCCCTCCTCTTTCGTGGAAATCGTGATTGACCGAGAGTTCACGCTAAACTTCACTAAAATAGCCCAATGAACGTTGAAGATTTTGAATGACATTATTTGAACGCTAACTCTGCATATTAATTGAGAAAAGATGGAAAGAAAGACTAGAATGAACACCGATATCAATTTAATAACTCCAGTTGTGTGTTCTAAGAATCTTCCTCGCTTATTATTAATTTCGCGTCCTTATACATTTAAATTTATAAGTTTGTATTAAGGTATATATTTGCAGTTCAAGTCTATCTTGTACAGAGAGAATTTTTTTTTGGAATTTGAAGAATTTTATGAGTTTCTCTGATTAATATTTAACAACTACAACAATAAGATATAAAATATAATCGATTCGTATTTGTATTTTTTTATTGTGGTAAATATTTAATCAGAGAAACTCTTGCAAAATTCTTTCAATGTTGCCCCACGATTACCATTCAGGTTAAATTTCTAAGAGAAAATTCTCTGCGTATATTATATCAATTATCGAGATTTATCGAGAATTTATCTATGAAAAAAAAAAAAAACGTGTCAATCTTAACTCGAATACATATACATATATATATATATTTAACTCCGATTGTAAGGAACTATGAACTCGCGGAACCGCACTCTCGTGTGTGCGGTTGCTTTCTTTCAGCTAATCTATCCATCTATGTATCTAGTTATCCAATAATCTAGCCTGTCAATTCACGCATATATGAAACACGTTTCTCGGAGAATTCAATACCTGTTTCTGCGGACAAGTCGGGAAAGAGAACTGTTGAAGCCGCTGCTACATTCGGTCATGACGTTTCATCTGATTATGAAAACGAGGGGAAAAGTCTACGTTTCATACGTCAACCCTTACTCGCATAAAAGATGAATCTGTCTACAATTTTTTCTTGCTCTCAACAAGTTCTTTGATTTTTCCCTTTTCGGTAAAAATCCTAAGAAAAAAAATTCGTTAACTTGAGTAAACCTTTCAACTAATTTATTTGGTTATCGAATATATAAATAATATATGTTTAATTGACAAAATAATAATTTAGTCAAGTTAAAAATTGTGAGGCTACTAATTAATAAATTTAAAGAGTAAAATTTGCAAAAGAATTATTTCGATAATTTTAAATAAATACACAAAGAGTTCTTAGAATTTCCTGAAACCAGATAATCTTAGGATCTTTATATGGCGTTTGAAGAATTTTATAAGAGTTTCTCTGATTTTACTACGTACATAGTAAAATTAATCGAACATATTTTATATCTTATTTCGTGATAGACATTAATATATTTAAAATTAATAAAAAAAAAATAAATAAATAAATAAAAAATCAGTAGATGAAACTTTTATTAATATATTTGTTCTCATAAAAATATTCCACGACTAGCATGATTTTTCGAGTAAATTCAAAGAGAAAATTCTCTCCGTGTATTTATTTAAAATTACTGAAATCAGTTTTGTACAAATTATACTCATTAAACAAATATAATTGTCATATCCGCGTTGCGCGAATGATTGACGTCTTCGGAATCCGGTCCGCCCCATTCAGGGAAAATCCGCCGCGAATCATCGACGATGATGACTGTCGTGCGAAATCGAGCGCAGCCGCCCTGCGGAAATCGTCATATTTGCGCGATTTCTCGTTATCGGCGATAATAATTAACGTCGCGCGGGATCGTTGCGTTTTTTCCTCGTGATTTCTTATCGAATCCGCGTGACGCGTGCCTCGTTTCCCAGACTGGTGATCGAGGTGAAAGCTATAAATGTTTATCCTCCATTTATCTGCTCCCGAGCGTAAAATGACCGATGGTCAAGAGTAATCGGATGTGATCTAATACTGCGTCCGTCAATATATAATTATATATATATATATTTATATGCGTGTGACGTTTATTTACAACAAATAATGTAGCCTTTCTGCGCAGTAGCTTCTCGTTTCGAATTATACAGACGTACTTACGTCTTCTCTCTCTTGCGCGACATTTCGTGTGCTCCTAACAAAGACTCATTAAAGGGCTCGCGGAAATGAAGGGTCGATCCCTCTGGCGCCTTCATTTCTCGGTATCCTTCAGAGACAAAGGAACAAGGAATCCCGCGAAGGTCTCTGGATGGCGCGATGCCATGACTTTGTCCGCGTCTCATTTACCTTCTCTCCCGCGAAGAGATGACGGAAGGGATGGAAGACGTGGTTTCATTGATCCCAAACATTTACGGCGCGCACGAAACTGTTATGTCACATGATACGTTTCCCGCGCTTAATTGAATTTCAGGACCCACGTTTGCAGAGGATGACATCATGGGCGTGTTTCTCATTTATTTTCTGACTCCTGTGTAGGCTCCCTTAAGTTGAGGAGTTGATCTAATTTTCTTGGCCTCCCTTTATCTTTGCGTTTAATATCGACGCATGAACTCGTGGACGCTTGTTTTGATGGCTTCTTGGACGATTGAGATTAATAATCTATTATCTGCGAGTATTAGCTTCGACAGTAATAAGCGGTATTAATCATCGACATAATTGCAGAATATTAATAATGTAATGACAAATATCATCGTCGAATTTATGTTTCCATCAGTGAAATCGCACTTTAACGATGTTTGGTAGTTAGAGATAGCTTATCAGCAATCTGGCAATTATTTTTATAAGCTCTATTTAGGTCAGATTATACTTGTGACTTCTCTGAGTCTGGGAAAAAGAGATAGATATACAATTTACGAGAATATAATCAATTATTTTATATATCATAGAGTTATTAGTGAATAAATTAATAAACATATCAGAGTTAATATAAATGTTTTAACATATATTAATATTTTTTTATAAAAAAAATAAATATATATATAATCTTGATTAATTTTTTTATACACTGTATATTTATTTGATATTCTTTGCATAACATTTTTCAAATTCTTTCTTATGTCATTTGTGATAAAAAAAATCTTTGAGGAAAAAAATGAATTTCGTAATCGATACGTACGTGAAGTTAATATATACGCTTCATTTTTTAATATTAAATAATTTTTATAATCACATCTCTTTGCTATTCTTCTGTCGATTTTTTTTTTAAAGATAAAATCACGGAATTTTTTCACACGATTGCAATCGCATTCAGCAAATTATACGAGCAATATTGGATCGATGAGAAAGAGTGTCGCATCCCTTAAATCGATACGTATAGTTATACGTCATCGACGCGATTAATTGCATGACGAAACTATGGTTATTACTCGATATGTGATACTCTTTCTCTGTCTCATCGTTCTTCTCGTTACAAGTTTCATTGTGTTGAGACGTGAAGTCTCTCTCTTTCTCTCTGATATATTTAGCGCGGGTAATACCACTGTTGCTAAGGCATCAGCTGATCAGGCCGGCATGCAGGGCCGTCTCTTCAGCTTCGACCAACGTGTGCTTTTTCCCTGCCTTCTCTGGACAGAGGAAATATTTATTAGAATACGTAAATATTTATAAAATTCTGAAATCCTCGGAGAATTTGTTGGTTTTAAGATAGAGTTAGATTATATTATCAAACTACGAGAATTATACAGATTATTCAAAGATAAATATGTAACGTGAAGATATAAAAATATCTAAACAAATAATAATATAAAAGTAATTAAAATAAAATAAAATATGTAATTTTAATTTATATTATCATAATTTTAAACAATTTTCTCGTAAATATTAATAAAGTTCGACTGACTTTTCTTTGTTTACATCGAAGAAAAAATTAATCAGAGAAAGAGGGAGTTAATATTATTATGAGAAATAATTTTTTTACATTAATTTCAATATTTATATTCTTTCTATTTCGAGAATTTTTACTAATCTTTAAATATTATTATTGCAAAAGGTACAATTAATTAACTCTACACAGAGAGAATTTTCTCTTAGAATTTACCCTGAAAATCCTGGTTTTTTATCACAATAAAAATATAAATATCTATCCCAATAAGATATAAAATATGTTCGATTAATTTTACTATGTATACATTAATATTTTTTATTGCGGTAAATATTAATCAGAGAAACTCAAGATTCTTCCATACCATATTGTCCCACGATTTTCAGGGACTAAATTCTAAGAGAAAATTTTCTCCGTGTACTGTTTTCTACTAAAATTTATATAATAATAACTGCATCGATGTTCCGTCTTTTGCATATTAATTCGAGCTCGACCTGTCAAAAATCTATCTTCGCGAGTATCCCCAAGGAGCTCCCAATCGTACGGCCTTGCGGACGCGTAAAACCGGCGTGCGCTCTCCTCCCGCGGCTTTATCCCTCTACCCCCACCACTGGGCTTCCCCCACCACTCGGTCACCGGCAGCCGGCCAGATGATCGGCGTGGCGACTCGCTCGGGGCACCGCTTGGCGGCGTCAGTTAGTAACCGGCTGTCATCGGGTGAGGATCGCGAATTTTTGTTCACACTCTCCCGCCGTAACCTGATTTCTCTCGCTTTGTGTGTCGATACAGTACGGTGTGACGTTAGTCTCCGCGATTCAACCCGGAGACGACACTCGCAGAGTCCCCTTTTGTGATAATATTATGACTGGTAACAACCACGCGACGTCATCGAACCTACTTCCGCTCGTTGCGCGCAGTGACAATCGACGGACGTGTCGCGCCGAATCCGGCCTTCTGATTCGCCGGTGATAATTGTCGGGATACATTTCGGATATATATATATATATACACACATCTTGCATCATCGCGCGACTTTTGTCGTCGAGAGAAAAGAGAAAGGGGATAAATCGGGAATTGGTTGGTTTGCTCGCCGGGAGTGCGCGTGACTATCTTCAGTGTCCTTATCGAAAGCCGCCAAGATTCCCATCGCTAACGAGAGCGATTCGCAGCCGGTGGCTGCAGATACCATCGCGAATCGTCCCACGATGGGCAGCATGGGTCAAATGGGAGCGAACGAGGTGAGTTCGAGCTGGAATTTCTCCCTTTTCTCCTTAGTCGACCCTTTCGCTTTCCTCGAAGAAGCTGCGCGAAGTTGGCCGCGCGTCAATGACAGTTTTTTTCCCAGTGTGGTGAGTGTTCCAATTTTTCGGCAATTTCTTTGCTTTCGAGGGGAGCGAACGCGTCGACACATCGCATTCCCGAAAATGTAAACGAAGCGTGAGGACATTTTTTTTTATTATTCCTGAAAATGTAGCGGCGATACACAAACGTTGCTCGCGCAACGAGTAGAAAATTCTTTGCTCCGAAAAAGGTTACGTTCTGTTCTACAATCTAGATTCGCGATGACTTTTCAATTCTCTGGAACTTTCCACGCGAGATGCTGAGCACCTTTGTTACTGATAAGCACACTTGTCGGATGTCTGAACGTTGTTCTTTTAGAGCTAATTTTGTCCCGCATTTTTTTTTTTTTTTGTATGTTTTACTTCGGGATATTTGCACAGAATGATTTATCTGTTGTGTCGCTCTACGTAATTGTCTTTAGAATTGAATAAACGGAGTAATATTTCACACATGATAAAACTATCACGCTGTTTCATCATGCGGATATTTGGTTTCAATCGTATGTATAATTTTGCTGTCAATCGTTGTCGATGTATTTAGTACATATAGGGTGTTCATAGAAAATTGCTGAAACTAATCAGCTGTCATTTTTTAATGCATGCAGTTATTGAGAAAACAAAAATTGTGTTGGAAAGTGGAAAGTCTACAGTTTTTAATGGATAGAAATAAAATGTTTGTATATCAGTTTATTTTATTGATAAAAATTAATTTTAAAAGTGTTAATTAGTTTCAGCAATTTCTTATGGAACATCCTGCATAATCAATCTCGTTATTTTTCATTTCTCGTTCCCTTCTTGAGAATCAATCGACAATTCTCTTTTAATATATGTATATATATATATATATATATATATATATAATCGCATAATATCGCGGAATACAACAAAATACGAATAATTTAGGCATTTCAATGTAAACAAGTTTCAAGCCAGAAATGTACGCGTTCTCGAATACTATTTTGGGTTTAAAATGAGTGATAAAAATTCTCTTCGGATGACAAAACGTTCCTCCTATTTTATTTTATAATTTCAAAACAATCTTATTTAAAAAAAAAAAAATCTACATATACATAAAGAACTTTCTTTGTCCGGCACTTTATGTGTGTGCATTCGAGATCGACGGTGTCTTTGATGCACTCTCGAAAGATGCATCTCTCTCGGGATCGCTTTCTCTCTCTCTCTTTTGCACACGCACGTGCGCCCGGCACGCATTCGGAAAGTCACCGAGATCTTACTCGGCTCATCTCATCGGCAGAAATAGAGTACAATAACTAGCCGGTGGTGGGAGAGAGCCGGCCGGTCTTTGTGTGAGGGAGAAAGATGACTTGGCGGCGAAGAAAGAGAGACGGAAGGTTGGAGTCGCGTGATCGTGCTTCGACGTTGCCGGTTGGCCGGGAAGCCTCGGGATTTAACAGAGAAAACGGAACGGTGATTCCTCTTCCCTGTTTACGTATTCATTTTATATACCGCTTCCGCTCGGTTTCCCTTTACCCGATTAATCGCACGCACTCCTCCGATCTCGCGTCGAGATAACGACACGTCACGCGTCTACGCGTGCGGACCATTTTCCTCGGCTTTCTAGAAATTTCTCGGCTTTTCCTGCACGGAAAAACAGATTCATTACTGCAGCTTAAGTTGACCTGTCCCTATATATTGCGACCTAAAACTTTATTGCATGCCTAAATTCAGGGTTGGGTAATAACTAGTTAATTAGGTAAAAGTTAAAAAAATGTTAAGAACTTTTAACTAATTTTTTGACCTTAAAGTAATTTTTTTTCCTATAAGCTAAATTTTTTATCCCTGAATATCAGTATTGATTTTTTAGTTTTACCTGACAAGTAGCATATCTTTGTCTTTTTTTAGAACTTATCTGAAAAAAGACGAAAATATGCTACTTATCAGGTAAAACTTACCGAGAAGTTGGAAAAATTGACCCTAAAAGTATTAATTTTTATGCTCATTTGTCATTAATTGTAATCACAAAAAAATATTTCTATATAAAAATCAAAATTTCTTTGTTATTATAAATATTGAAAGAATTAACAAACGAAATTCTAATTTAATATAAATGTTTTTAAAAATTAAGTTTTGATTTAACTTCAGTTAATTAAATCTTAACTTAACTTATTTAATTAAGTTAATTGTTTGCTCATGCAACTTTTAACTTAACTAAATTAATTTTATACCCAACTAACTTTAACTTAACTTAGTTTAAAAAAATGATTAACTTACCTAATCCTGCCTAAATTTTAGCTGTGGTTACTAATATTTTTATTACTATAATTTTAGCTATGGTAATTAATTTTTTAGCTACAGTTTAACGGAGAATTTTATAGCTAAAAGTATTAGCTAAAATTTCATATGTAATACACAGGGACATCTAAAATTTTAGCTACTGTAACTAATTTTTTCTGTGTTTATTAAAGAATGCCGGGGGATTCTCTTGACATATGTGGTTGTTTTTGCGTAATTTTGCGTAGAAGTTTCGGAAAGTTCCATTAAAATATAATATTGAACGATATACGCGAAAGTTTGTTCAGCTCCGTCCTTATATGATATAATAATTGAGTGTATGAAGGAAGCTTTATGATATGTGCCAAGTATCGAAATATTTGGCACGCATTAGAGAAAAGCAAGGTCAGTTCTATAGACGTTGCAAGATTAATGATGTTTTCTGGGAAAATGAATTTTGTACACAGATATTTTATACTTACAATTAAACGTGACATATATGTATATATTTTACATGATCGTTGAGCCGAGTAATTAAATTTGCTTTTACAATGCTTTTACAAACTTGAAAAAGGTATTTTAACAATGTAATACAAAGAAACCTTTTAATTTTTTATTCACTATCACGAAGATAATTCTCTTAGAATTTACCTTAAAAAATCATGATGGTTATCGTGAGACAATATGGCATTGGAAGAATTTTTATAAAGTTTCTCTGACGAAATATTTACCACAATAAAAAATATTAATATATGTACATAGAAAATTTTACTACGTACGTAGTAAAATTAATCGAACATGTTTTATATCTTATTGCGGTAGATATTAATATTTTTTATTGTGGTTAATTAGAGAAACTTTTATCAAACTTTTTAATATCATATTATTCCACGATTATCATGATTTTTAAGATAAATTTTATTTTATTAAAATTTAAAAGTATGCATAAGATGGATTTTCTAGAATTTTTAACCTTAATTTTTATAAATTCCATTATATATACAAGGATCAAATTTTTTTTTTAATTGTTCTCTATTCACTTCCGAATTTTACGCAATTAATATAAAAATGGTTACAAAGTATTCTTATCGATAATGACGAATATCAACACTTACGAGCTGCTCTTTGTACTCTTTGTCACAAATAAGAACCGAACATCCCGTTTTCTTTGTCTCTCTCGCTTCGTGAAAGACAATCTCGATCACCAATTCTAGTTCATTGGCCGAGCGATGATTAATTCCGCCGATTGATTCTGTTCGAATAAAAAGAAGAGAAAAAAATATCGCGGTACCAGTTCATATACTAATTTAATTAAATCGGGACGATATTGTGTTCTCCGCCACGTGCCTTGATAAGCCATTGGTGGTGACTTGGTAATCAGGTGATAAATCAGGTGATCATCTCGATTTAATCTTGCGCAACAATCGCAATAATTTGTAGGCTTTCGATAATGTAACATAACATCGTGAAATGAAACGAGTAATCTATAATGGACGCTATTAGGCGATTAGATAATTTGTTTAACGGAAAACACATACCTCAGATAAAGTGCACAATTTATTCTCTTTTTGTATAATTTTTGACGCACGTATTTGTTCATACGTCATTACTGCATTGAGTCGCTTTTATTTTTAAACACACTTTTTTAATTACTTTATTGTCAGTCGCGACACGTGCGACGAGATTAGATCATGGACGAGTGTCGAGAAAAAAATGGTCAGCTGGTTGGACATTAACAGTCATTTAGTTAGAGAGCTACAAATTTAAACTAGGAATCCGGAAGGTTTTTTCTCGTAAACAAAGTCGGCGCGTACATATGAATATTTATTCTTTATCTATTTTTATTGCGGCCGCGTCGAGCGTGCCATGAAATCGTGAGACACTATTACGTGCATTTATATAGGAAGCAGCTGTGTGTTTTCGAATAATTTGTCCTTCGTAGCGTGCAAGACTAGGTGTGTGACACATATATAAGAATTTTCGATCTTGCGTCAGCTTCATCCCTCTTTCATCAGCCTGTGCTTTAACGTTGGATCGAGAATTTTCGTCCTTGGAAACACGTAAAACGTTCCTCATATAACATTTATAGCTCGATTACGTGTTTACGCGCTCATCATTTTCAATCGGGAAAATAGATTTAACCTCTGCGACGAATATATTATAATATAATGCATAATTTAGAGAATCATATTGAAATTAAATTATTAAATGTTTAGATTTATCAAATATTTAATTAAAACTATTAATAATCTAGAATTATTGAAAAGAGACAGGTTCATTTTATTTGAAAATAATTAATCATTTTCAACAACATTAATTTTAATATTTATCATTAATTTAGATTCATTTATTATTTTTTTCCACATTTGATTATTTGATTATTAACATCTCGTGTGATAACTAAAGAGGAAGAAAAATCGAATAAAAATTAAAAGTATAAAGACTTAGGTTGGAGCAAATAAATGCTCATAACAATCATAAATAAAATAAATTAGAAAAAACGAAATAATGTACATTGAAAAAATATAATTACTTGATTAAATCTTTCAACTAAATATTATTTTGTTAATTAAAATATTTAAATAAAATATAACATATTAAATGTAAGAAAATAGTAATTTAGGTGCAAGGTTTAGTCAAGTCAACAAATTTTTCTTCAGTGTTAT